TGAGAATTTTCCCTACCATGTTTGATAAATGTTGTCCAGATACCATTGCCAAGAATGTGTTGTCCAAAATGCCTGTAGTTTTTAAAGATGGAACTCCACCCCTTGCTTGGTTTTAAGTATGTATGGAATGTTATGATAGGACACAGTAGTGGTGGTCAGACATGGAAATGGTGGGGAGACAAAAAAAAACATGTGAAATAAAACTCAGTATTTTAATAAAGTAAAAAAAAAAAAAAAAGAATGTTGCATATTGCCCCCCCCCCCCAACTTTTGGCTTGTAGGGTTTCTGCAGAGAGAGCCACTGTTATTCTAATAGGCTTTCCTTTGTGGGTAACCTGTCCTTTCTCTCTGGCTGCCCTTAACATTTTTTCTTTCATTTCAATCGTGGTGAATCTGATGATTATGTGTGTTGGGGTTGCTCTTCTCAAGGAGTATCTTTGTGGTGTTCTCTGTATTTCCTGAATTTGAATGTTAGCCTCTCTTGCTAGGTTGGGGAAATTCTCCTGGATAATATCCTGAAGAGTGTTTTCCAACTTGGTTTCATTCTCCCTGAAAGTGACAGGTACACTGATAAAATGTAGATGTGGTCTTTTCACATAATCTCATATTTCCTGAGGGCTTTGTTCATTTCTTTTCACTCGTTTTTTCTTTAATCTTGTCTGCTCGCTTTTTTTCTTTCTTACTTCCTTTCTTTCTTTTTTTTTTTTTTTTGAGACAGAGTCTTGCTCTGTCACCCAGGCTGGAGTGCAATAGCATGATCTCCACTCACCACAACCTCCACCTCCTGGGTTCAAGTGAGTCTCCTGGCTTAGCCTCCTGAGTAGCTGGATTACAGGTATGCGCCTCCACATCCAGCTAATTTTTTGTGTTTTTAGTAGAGATGGGGTTTCACCATGTTGGCCAGGCTGGTCTCAAACTCCTGATCTCATGATCCACCCGCCTCAACCTCCCAAAGTGCTGGGATTACAGGTGTAAGCCACCAAGCCCATCCTGTCTTCTCACTTTATTTCATTGTGTTGATCTTCAATCTCTGATATCCTTTCTTCTGATGATGGATTTGGCTACTGAAACATGTATATGCTTTATGAAGTTCTTACGCTGTGTTTTTAAGTTCCATCAGGTCATTTATGTTCTTCTCTAAATTGGGTATACTAGTTAGCATTTCATCTAACCTTTTTTCAAGGTTCTTAGCTTGTTGCATTAGGTTAGAACATGCTCCTTTAGCTTAAAGAAATTTGTTATTACCCACCTTCTGAAGCCTGCTTCTGTCAATTCATCAAACTCGTTCTCCATCCAGTTTTGTTCCCTTGTTGGTGAGCAGTTGTGATCACCAGTGGGGGCTGCAGAACAGCAAAGATTGCTGCCTGTTCTATCCTCTGGTAGCTTCATCCCAGAGGGGTACCTGCCAGATGCCAGCCAGAACTTTCCTGCATGAGGTGTCTGTCAGCCCCTACTGGGAGGTGTCTCTCAGTCAGGATACATAGGGATAAGGGAGCCACTTGAGGAGGCAGTCTGTCTCTTATCAGAGATCGAACGCTTGCTGCAAGATCTGCTGCTTTCTTCAGAGCTGCCAGGCAGGAATGTTTAAGTCTGCTGAAGCTGTACTGTGGGTACAGCCCCTTTCCCAGGTGCTCTGTCCTAGGAAAGTGGGGTTTTATTTTTAAGTCCCTGATGGTCTGCTGCCTTTTTTCAGAGATGTCCTGCCCAGTGAGGAGGGAGTCCAGTGACACAGTCTGCCTGCAGAAGCTTGCTGAGCTGCCATGGGTTCCACCCAGTTTGAAATTCTTGGTGTTTTCATTTACACTGTGATGTTAAAACCACCTACTTGAGCCTCAGCAATGGCAGATGCCCCTCCCCCCACCAAGCTCGAATGTCCCAAGTTGAGTGCAAACTGCTGTGCTGGCTGTGAGAATTTCATGCCAGTGGATCTTAGCTTGATGGTCTTCGTAGGGGTGGGACCCACCAAGCCAGGTCACTTGGCTCCCTGGCTTTAAGCCCCTTTCCAGGGTGGCGAATGGTTCTGTCTTGCTGGTGTTCCAGGCGCCACTGGGGTATGAAAAAAAAAAAACTGCTGCGGCTAGCTCAGTGTCTTCCCAAACAGCCGCCCAGTTTTGTGCTGAAAACCCAGGGACCTGGTGTTGTAGGCACCAGAGGGAATCTCTGGTCTGTGGGTTGTGAAGACCATAGGAAAAGCAGAGTATCTTGGCCAAAACGCGGGGGCCAGTCCCTAATGGCTTCCCTTGGCTAGGAGAGGGAGTTCCCTGGCCTCTTGCGCTTCCAGGCTAAGGCGACATCCCACCCTGCTTCAGCTAATCCTCCTTGGGCTGCACCCACTGTCCAACCATCCCAATGAGATGAAATTGATTTCTTATGTAGTTTTAAGTGACAATAATTATATGTATTTGTGAAGTATACATTGTAAAATGATTAAATCAAGCTAACATATCTGTCACCTCACCTACTTTTATTTTGCAGCGAGAACGTTCAAAGTCTACTCTTTTAGCAATTTTGAAATACACAATACATTATTATTATTATTATTATTATTATTATTTTGAAAGAAGTCTTGCTCTGTTGCCCAGGCTGGAGTGCCGTGGCATGATCTTGGCTCACTATAACCTCCGCTTCCCAGGTTCAAGTGATTCTCCTGCTTCAGCTTCTTGAGTAGCTGGGATTACAGGCGCATATGCTACCATGACTGGCTAATTTTTGTACAACACATTATTATTAACTATAGTCACTATGTGGTGCAGTAGCCCACTAAAGCTTATTCCTCCTAACTTTGAAACTTTGTATCCTTTGATGGTCAGTTGATTTTTTTCTTTTCTTTTTTTTAAGCTTCTCATTGTCCAAACCTACTTGTTTTTCTTTTGTCAATTGATTTTTGACCAAGGCAGAAAGACAACTGAAGAAAGTATACTGTTTTCAACAAAAAGTGCTGGAATAATTGGATATCTTGTTGCAAAATAAAAAAAGAACCTGAACTATCCTTCATAACTTATACAAAAATCAACTCAAAACAGATCATAGATGTAAATTTAAAATGTAAAGTTATAAAACTTCCAGAAGAAAACATAGGAGACAAATTTTTGCAGTCCTATGTTAAGAAACAGTTCTTGGGGTATGACCCCAAAAGCATGATCTATAAAAGAAAAGCATTTTAAATGATCTATAAAAGAAAAACAAATTGGACTTCACAAAAATGAAAAACTTTTGTTCTAAGAAAGATATTGTTCAGTAAATGAAAAGATAAGCTAAAGATATGCAGGAAATATCCTTAAATCATATACTCAATAAAGGACTTACAGAATATATAAAGAACCCCAAAATTCAACGATAAGGAAAGCAACAACTCAAATGAAAATGAACAAAATCTTTGAACCCATTTCACCAAAGAAACATAAGGATAGTAAATAAGCACATGAAAAGATGCTCAAAATCATTAGTCACTAGGGAAATGGATATGAAAACCACAATGATCTACAACTACACTTCAATTAGAATAGCTAAAACAAACAAGCAAACAAATAGATAACACAAAGTGCTGGCTAGTATGTGGAGCAATTGATTATATACTGCTGCTGGGACTTCAAAATGGCATAGCTATTTTAGAAAAGAGTTTGAGAACTTCTTATAAAGCTAATCACATACTTGTTATAAGACCAACAATCCTATCCCTGGGTATTCACTCAAGAAAAATGAAAGCTTATATGCATACAAAAACCTGTAAAGAAATGTTTTTAGTAACTTCATTTCCGTCTTTCAAATGGTGAATGAATGAACTAGATACTACTCAGCATAGAAAAACTACTAATACATGCAGTAACATGGATGAATCTCTCAAAGCATTATGCTAAGTGCAAGGGGCCAGTCTCAAAAGGCTGTACTTTGCCTTGATTCCATTTATATGACATTCTAGAAAAGGTACAACTATAGTGATGAAGAACAGACCTATGATTGCATTTGTTAAGTATAGGGGAAGGGTTTGACTATAATAGACAGCAAGATCAAATTTTTAAGTATTCAAAAACTCTTGATTGTGGGGGTGGTTTCACGACTATGCATTTGCCAAACACATAGAACTATAAATCAAAAGGAATAAATTTTACTCTATGTAAATTTAAAAATAAATAAATATTTTAAAATGGCTGTTTGCCTGGTCTGCCTCTCACTGTCACTGTTACCTATTCTAAGACCACTGGTTCATCCCAGAATCACAGGCTTGGAAGGAGCTTAGTGGGAAATGGTACAATTCCCAAGCCAATACAGAAAATTCCCCTAGAGGTTTCCTGGGAGCTTCTGCTTGAAGATCATCAGCAAAGACAGAAAATCTTTTATCTTCCAAAGCAGGCCTGCTTACAGTGGGCAGTTTTTGCTGTTACCAAGTTATTTCTTTTATTAGCTAAAATTGGCTTCCTCACCATTAGCCCCTATTGGCCCTAGTACCATTCCCTGGAGCTACAGATACAAAGGCAGAGGCCATCTCCTACACCTTAGTGGTGGCAGAAGTACTGCATGGGAGGACAGCCTGAAGTCACTCAGAAGCGAAGGGGCTTGTATCTCCTGGACCAACCCCTCTGTGCAGTACTCTGTAGAATGCTGGGTGACACTGAGCCATGAGAAGTCATCTGGTTTGGGTTCAGCCCTAGAAATTCCTGGACTATACAGTGAAAATTCTCTGTAAAGGAAGGATACCACACTCTCAGGGCCCTTTCCTGAATGAAACTGGGAGGTGACAGTTTCAATCATTCTCTCCTTAATCAGAAAGTTACAGTGATGTTCATTCCTTTCCTGGCCTCATTATTTTCTGACCTCTAACTTCATGAAGAAAATCCACAAATCAATTTTGGCTAGCAAGTAAAGGAAAATCCCTGAATGGGATTCAACTTAGCCAAGCTACAGCCCATCCCCACTAGAATCATGGCTTGGTCATCTAGGCCACCTGCCTAAGCAGAAGAGATCCATTCCAGAGAACACCCTGAACACTGCAAGTGTCTTACCTGTTTGAAGTTGCCATTTTTTCTCTGCTCCCAGTCCATCATATCATGAAAGATGGGAATCATGATATTCCGTACTTCTGGCTGTGGGACAAGTGTCACACCCAGAAAAGGACCAATCATTCCCGGAATAAAGTGGATCTTATGTTCACCTAAACAACAAAACCCAACAGATATTAGTTTATGCCTTCTTTGCTCTTTCCATGGAACATTCCCAAGTGGGGCCACAGCACATGCTATAATCTATACTGGAAGCTTCCAAGCGCAAAGCAACCTTTCCCCTATGGTTTTCTGAGACACTCCCTCTCAACTTTTTAGAGTTCATAGATAAAAAATGCACGACAGTTAAAGCAAATGCACGACAGTCACAAAACTGCTTTTCCAAAGAATTTCCTGAAAGGTCCCCCAACTACCTGAAAATCTCCCCGAGATGAAGGAACAGAGTTTGCTACTTTAAACAGAATGGGTTTCTGAGTAACTTATGGGTTTCTGAGTAACACTGTGGTCTATTCACAGTGTTTATTTAACAAGAAAAATCTACACATTTCTGTTTAAATACATTGTACTCTCCTTGGAGTTTCTAGCACTAGCCCAGAGACATTTAAGTGATAAGGATATGCAGTCCCTGGTCTAGCCAGCAGAGGTCTAAAGTCCATAGGCCTATTCACTGCCTATGTTCATGTATGCCAAAGAAGTCCTCCTCCTGAGCTAGCAGGAGCTTCCTGCACAGCCCTACCCTAACAGGCTAGCTTAGAGATTCTGTCTTTACCCACCCTGAACTCCCTTTGTGTTCATATTGCATTTCTGATGGTACCACTACACCTATACGGCTCAGCTCAACACTCAACTTCCTTAATGAGGCATATCCATGGTAAGAGAGTGATGTGGGTTTTCCTCTCATTGGCCTGCCAATGAGAAGCCAGAACCAGCCGTGTGGATGGTGGACTACGATATTTCTTTTCCTTGCAATGGTGAAACAGAATGAACCATCTTTCAGAGCTCTGCTCCCAGTTCGTCAGAGACTAGGAGGAGATAAACTGTGGGTCTTTGCAACAATTGCTACAGCCAAGTAAACCCATTTCTTGGGGACCAGAGAATGTCATTTCCACCAAACGCAATGAGGCAGAAAAGGCTTTATCAGGCAAATCAGGCATTTAAAATATTTTCCATTTTGAAAACCTGTCTAAGAAGCAAATGTTAGCCCTGAGGCTGGTTCTGCATATTCCAATTTTGGTACTTGGTACAGTTGCCAGTCTCTTGCATTCCTAGGAATTTCAGAGTGAACTTCAGGGTTAAAATCCATATCCAAACTGTGCTGGATATAGGGAACCAGATGCTGGAAAGTCTGCTTGGGGAAATGCATCCCCACTCATGAATAGAAGGCCCTCCTGCTGGCAGAAATACCTCACATCTTGCTTGCTGCCTGTAGGTTAGTGGTGGAGGTGGTTAACAGAGGACTGAAGATTTTATGACCATAATTCCTACAGCTTCAGAGCCATGAACTCAGCTGAAAGCAGACTTCACTTGAAATAATAATAGTCGCTTCTCTAGCATCCTGAGAGGTCACTCAAAAATCTACAATATCAAGGGATGGCCCACTCAGTCACCAGGGCAACCCAGAAATTCTACCAAAAACACTGATCTGACAAATTTAGATTGAAAGCAGTGGCTATTTTCAAAGCATTCAAAGCAGAAGCTGTGCAAGGAAGGGAAGCCAAAATTGATCTCACTCAGAGGTTGCAGTTCTCTTCTCATATGTTATTCCAGGCAATTGGTGGCAAGTATCTGATCTGGATACATGAATACCAGAGATCTAAGAAAGGTTTCAATCTTTATTAAAATTAATAGCCACCTTTGCTCATGTACTGGGTATCTCAGATCTAAGCTTTTGAGCCTGCAACATCCAGACAGGGAAGTGAAGAGCATGGAGGATCTTACAGGCATGGGTTCTCAAACTGGAAAAAAATACTAGAGCCCTCCTCCTTTCTTCCTTTTGATTTTAGTTCCTAAAAAAAGGGATTGTGCATATGTATTACTGAGGTCTTATTTCTCAGCCAAACTCTCCTTGCCAAGGGCTTTATGCACATGTGCTACATCATCCATCTGAGGTGTTATGTGAAAGATATGTAAAGCTCTCTTGGGTCTGAATTAACATTCATAAAGTCTGGGAGACATTATTAGTCTTGTTACTTTCTATTTGGCTATGCAATATGTAGAAGGGAAGAATAGGGAGGAAAAAACCTACCCAAATTTTGCCACATGCTGAACAGTTCATAGGCCATCATTACACGCATGTCCCCATACCTAAGAACAGCAACACAGGAGCCAACCGTTAGTGGGAGAAGGTTCAGGAACATAGGGCTGCAAACTCATGAGGCCAGTACTTCAGCACTGTTTGTTTCTAATGCTTCCCAACATGCTAAGCCATTAGGCTCTCAACTGAACTCCCACACTTGGCCCCCTGGGAAACCACCCAGCTGAGAACCTTGTGGACTTCTGAAGGAGCCGCTCATGGAAACATAGCCCTATTTGGCCAAGTGGTAGGGAAATGAACAGAAGACGTTTATCTTACTTATCTAGAATCTTCTTCCTTTTGGCTGAGGTGATAATTTCTAGCTGAAGGCTTGGCTGATTTATGAATAGAACTGCCAGGCTAAAATAAGAATTCCACACCTAGAGAGACAGAGAAAGAGAAAACGTGACAGTCTAAGAACTTAATCTTGTAGGGAGAGTTACTAAATACACGCATGTAGCATAGAACCCATTTTACGATCTTAAGATCCTCATTTTTTCCCCTTTTAAATATCTTTGCAAACAGGAATTTGTTTTTCTTCTTTTCCCCCTTGACTCCTTCTGAAGCCAATCATGTTGATTCTGGACTAGAAAGCATACTCATGGAAGTCTGGCTACCATCACTTTCAAGAGGGGTGTGCCAAGGCATACTCTAATCATCATCAGGCTTGGAAGCTGTTTGATACTATGAATATACTAATAAAGCAAAAACAAGTGAGCTTGGTTTTGGTTTTCTAAGGTTATTGCAATAATAGTGATGGATTTCAGGAGTGCCTACCTTAAAGTCAAAGTCAGTCTCTGTGAAATTCTTGTGCAGTGCAGAGGACAGGTACTGGACAGTAGTGACTATAATACTGCAGTAAGGAAACAAGGCATTGGCAGAATTAAAAGACTAACAACCACATATGATGGCTTAGCATCAGTTGTCTATATCCTGTGTGCAAACTTCTTGAGTACAAGATGTTCCCATTTAAGATGTGACTATAAAGGAAAGAGAAAATGGGACAAACTCTATAGAAAAAAAACTCCACAGAAAACCAGTCTTGGAAAAATGCCCCACAGTTGGCAGGACAGCATAGGACATCAGTGGGTTCTAGACCTAGTTCTGCCATTACCTGGCCTTTGTACTTTTCTCTGGGTTTCATTTTCCCTGCCTACAAAAGGTGGTAGGAGTTCGATGGTTCTCCCAGTTCAGAATAGTTCTAGTATTTTGGGGACCTCTGGGTAATCAACAGATATTATGATCACTTTGTAGGACTTAGAACATAATTTTATTATTATATTTGATAACAGGAGTTTATATAGTTAGTAAATCTTTGCTTTTGTCATACACTATTATTTTCATCTGTGTGTCATTTGAATTCAGCTCTTTTCGTCTAGCTATAGTAATCACTCTCAGGCTTAGCCCGGGCACATAGAAGGGACAATAGGAGGCTGTCCTACTGGAAGAAGAGAGTAAAGTGGAGAGGAAGTCTAGTGGGATAGTCCATTTGATTACACAGGGCCTTGGCTACCTGGCAAAGAGACTTACGGCTAACAGTGGCCACCTGTGTTTAGATGCAGACGAATGTAACAAAAACAGTACATTAGAAAGACTAGTCTACCACTAGAGGGGGTGAAAAATCTAAAGAGAAAAAGCTTTGAAAGAAAAGTCTGCTCATAATTTGGAGACTGGCAAGATGACTGATTCATCAGATTTGACACTGTTAACCTGTGTATGGTGACTGGAGGTGCTAACCTGGGAATAATTGGTGTGATTACCAACAGACAGAGGCACCCTGGGTCTTTTGATGTGGTTCACATGAAATATGGTGACAGCTTTGCCACTCAACTTTCCAACATTTTTGTTATTGGCAAGGGCAATAAACCATGGATTTCTCTTCCCTGAGGAAAGGGTATCTGCCTAACCATTGCTGAAGAGAGACACAAAAGACGGGCGGCCAAACAGAGCAGTGGGTGAAATGGTCCCAGGGTGACATATTAGATCTTTGTACATAATCAAAAATAATGTGGTATGATTAATAGCAAAAAAAAAAAAAAAAAAAAAAAAAAGAAAAGAAAAAGTCTCCTCTTGCAGGACAGGCTGGGGAGCTTGAAGTGCTCTGAATGGAGCTAAGAGATAGAAACAAGAAGGATTCAAATGGAATCATTTGAGTAACTATTTGAGGAAGTATCTGTGCAACTTTGTTTATAAACATTCTTCTGTTCTTTATAAAACATTTGTATTTTGGGGAAAGTTACAGTGCTCTATAAAAAGTATGAAGCGGAAAGACCATGCTAGTATCTTGCTAATATATCTAACAAATATTTTCACTACATTTTCTCTGTCAATATAAATGGCAGATCTGTGGGAGGAGGCAATGGGCTAGAGTGTGGAGGCCAAGTGGCCTTCTCCTGAGTAGAGGGAGACCAGACGAGCCAGCCCCTTACCCATGTATCATTTGTCTAGTTTGCCAGGAGGAAGCAGAGGCTAGAAATAGGAATGATGCAGTCAGGTTAGGGTTATCTTTAGAGTAAATTCTATGTCAGTAATCAGAATTGGTCAGAGCCTTAAAACCAGGCCTCAGGTGGGTAACTGGCACTGTCTGTGGGAGGCAAGCACTACCTGGTAGACAACACAATTCAAGTTGAGAGGAAGGCTTGGGACAATGCCTAAACCTACAGAGCAGCAGAGGCCAGTGGGCCACTGAGCAGGCCTTCCTTAAGGAATAACCCTTCTCTGAATATTGTATTTCACATCCTAAAAATTTCCTTCTCTATCCTTACTGTGCCATCATCTACCAAGCACAAAAATGTTTTTCCCATTTGCCCTCTCCTCTCTGTTCCCGTGGCCCTGGCCTTCATTTGTTTTGCTCATGTGCTCCCTCTCTGAAACACACATACTCTTCTTAGTCTGAGACAAGCTCAGTGATGCTGATGCAGAGCCCTTCCATACTCACTTGCTTGTGAGCAGTCTCATTACCATCCAGTCCCGAGGGAAGACACTCATCTTCATCAGGTTCCGGAACACACAAAAAATCTTCAGCAGAAATTCCTGACAGCAGAAAAAAGCTGATGTGAGATACCACCATCACAATATGCATCTCCTCAATAGGCCTCTCCTGGCCACTTGATCATGAGAATAGGTGGGACCAGTGAGTTAAATCTGGTTCTCTCTGTGAGTTGTTTCTCTCTTAGATGGCTACATAAGAGTGAGTTCTCGGTACTCTCACAGGCTAGATGTAAGCAGACCCAAACTGGGCAGAACAGAGGCAGCTCTATACCCACGGTGCCCAAAGCAGCTCTATACCCACACTATACCCACAAAGCCCAAAGCATGGGACAGACTAAGGTCTAGACAAACTGGTGTCTGACTGAGTCCATGGGCTTCATTTTCTGGGGCATAGCCCCTGGGCGGTTTGATTGTAAGAACATGCTTTTTTGGTTAGTAAGAACACAATGATGGGAGAAGCACTTTAGGCATGGCAGAGTAGAGACCTCTGAAAATCTGCTTGTCCCTGGAAGCAGTGGGGTGCCTAATACTGGTTAACCAAAGGCTTGCAACAATCCAAGAAGTGTTTACTCAAGAAAAATGGATGAATAAGAACAATGAGTTTTGTTGCATTTTAACTTGCACTATTCCCAACCCCTCTAATCTCGACAGTAGCCTTAAAAACAAGCTGCTGTAGAATCATGAAAGTCATGAAAACCAGCAGCCTAGCAGCCACTAGAAGGGACAGAATGGTTCTGAACTCCTAAAAAAAAAGTCCCAACTCCCAGGATTGTTATTATTTGACCTGTTTGGCAGCTTCCTGGAAAAGCTCCATTCATAGGGCTTGTCTTAATTTAACCTGACTCAGAGCTCACTCAATGAGGAAAGCTCTATACCTAACGCATTTGTTGTAAACAAACAAACAAACAAACAAAACCCAACCATATAATTTAACATCCCAGCTGCATGAATCAGCCATGTCATTTGGGGCAAACAAGAGAATGGCTAAAAAAAATTAAAAAGAAAATCCGAGGAATAAAAATATCCATAGGGGGTCCTGAAAAGCTCTGATATATTCCTGGGAATCTATAAGGTCACACATGTGTGCAGGGCTATACACATTCCTAGGGAAGGCCTGAGAAGGCTTAATCTCTCACCTGTGGCTGACCTTGAGGCTTTGGGAAAGCAGGAAGTGAAGGCTAAGGCCGAACTGAAAAGTGCTGGAGCAATGATAGTGAGCCCCAACACACACATATAAAAAAAAACTTAACAAAATGTGGAGAGTTATTGATTTAAGGCATTTAAGAAAATCTCTGTTCAGTTATTAGCTGACCACTAATCTAACTGAATGGAGACTTTAGTGACTGCATATAATAAAAAAATACAGATATTAAAGAATAGGGCCAGGCATGGTGGCTCACACCTGTAATCCCAGTGCTTTGGGAGGCTGAGGCAAGAGGAACACTTGAGGCCAGGAGTTTGACACCAGCCTGGGAAATGTAGCAAGATCCCCATCTTTATAAAAAATTAAAAAGTTAGCTGCATGTGGTGTCACATGCCTAAAGTCCAGGCTACTCAGGAGGTTGAGGTGGGAGAATCTCTTGAGCCCAGGCAAGGTTGTAGTGAGCTATGGTCACATCGCTGAACTCCAGCCTGAGGAATACAGCAAGACCCTGTCTAAAAAAAAAAAAAAAAAAATCCAAAAAACAATGAGTCCAGTAATGACACTAAAAAAAAAAAAAAAAAAAAAAAGCATCATCAACAACATGAAGCACAAAAAGCAACAATAATAAGCAATAATAAGTCCTGGGGATGTGGGGAAGGGATCTGATTTCCACGGTTGCCAAGTTATTTAAAATGTCCAGTTTTCAACAAAAGATTATAAGATATAAAAAAATAGGAAAGTATGGCCCATAGACAGGCAAAAGGAAGTAAATAAAAGCTTTTCCTGAGGTAGCTCGAAAACATTGGACTTGCTTGGAAAAAACTTTAAACAAAGAATTGAAGGAAATCACACCTAAAGAATTAAAGGAAAGTATAAAAACAATGATTTACCAAATAAAGGACACCAACGAAAAAGGTAGAAATTACTTAAAGTACACCAAATATAAATTCTAGGGTTGAAACATACAATAACTGAAATGAAAAATTCACTAGAGGGGCTTAGCAGCAGATCTGAGCTAGCAGAAGAATTAGCAAATTTAAAGCCAAGTAAACTGAGATTATCTCAAGTAGGAAGAACAAAAAGAAAAAAGAATAAAGACAAATGAACAGAGCCTCAGATGCCTGTGGGACATCATTAAGGGTATAAACATACACACAGTGGTAGTGCCAGAAGGAAAAGAGAAAGAGAAATGGGAAGAAACAATGGCCAAAAACATTCCACATTTGATGAAAAAACCTACACAGCCAAGAAGCTCAACAAACTGTAAATGGGATAAAATCAAAGAGATTCACATACAGCCACATTAGAATTAAACTGTCAAAAGCCAAAAAATAAAGAGAATCTTGAAAGCAACAATATAAAAACAACAAATAACCCTCAATAATATTAACAGGTGTCACCATCAGATATAGTGGAGGCCAGAAGGCAGATGGCAAAAATATTCAAAGTCTGAAATGAAAGACCATTAACAAAGAACCCGGCAAAACTACCATTCAAAACTAAAGAAACTGCGAAGCACAGTGGCTAATGCCTGTAATCTTAGTGCTGTGAGAGGCTGAGGCAGGAGGATTGCTTGAGCCCAGGAGCTTGACACTAGCCTGAGCAACACAGCAAGACCCCATCTTTACAACAAATAAATTAAAAACAAACAAACAAACAAACAAAAAAACTAGCTGGTGTGGTGTTGTGCACATGTGTCCCAGTTACTTGGGAGGCTGAGGTGGGGGAATCACTTGACCCTAGGAAGACTAGAGTGGCAGTGAGTTATGATTATGCCACAGCACCCTAGCCTGTGTGACAGAGCAAGATCCTGTCTCAAAAAAAAAAAAAAAAAAAAAAAAATCAAGACATTCTAGGGTAAAAACTGAGAGAATTTTCTACTTGTAGACCTGCCCTATAACAAACACACAGAAAAAATGAGGGAATTAAAATGGCATACTAAATACATTTAACACAAAAGAAGGCAGTAATGGAGGAAAAGAAGAACAAAGGTGACATAAGACCTATCTATATAAAGTACATAGAAAAAAGGCAGGTGTAAAACCTACCAATAACCTTTATTGGAAATTATAGTACACATAAATGAATTAAACACTCCAACTAAAAGGTAGAGTTGGGAAAAATTAATTTTAAGTGTGATCCAACTATGTCTACAAGGTACACACTTTAGATTCAAAGGCATAAATACTTTGAAAGTAAAAGAATGGAAAAATATATACCATGAAAATAGTACCCAAACAAGAACTGGTATGGCTATACTAACATCAGACAACATAGACATTAAGACAAAAATTTTTGTTAGAGATAAAAAAGGACTTTTTATAATGATAAAGGGGTCAATCTGTCAGGAAGACATAATTATAAACATACATGCAACCTAAAAACAGAGGCTCAAAATATATAACACAAAAATTGACAGAATGGAAAGTAAAAGTAGACAATTCAACAATAGTTGGGGATTTTGATATACCACTAATGGCCAAACAACTAGACAGAAGATCAGCAAAGAAATAAAAACTTGAGCAATATTATGAACTATCTAGCTCTAACATCTATAGAATACTCCATCTAACAACAGTAGAATACACAGGTTTTCCTCAAATGCACACAGAAGGAAAAATATGTGCATTCTCTTCTCTAGGATAGATCTTATGTTAGGCCATAAAGAAAGTCCCAATACATTTAAAAGAAATAAAATCAGAGGGGTAAAGATGGCCAATGAGAAACAGCTGCAGTCGGGGGCTCCCACCAAGAAGAACCAAAACAGTGAGTGAAGCCTGCAGCAGCAACCAAGGTATCCAGTTTCTCTCATTGGACTGACTAGGCAGTTGGCATGACCCATGGAAACTGAGGAAAAGCACGGTGGTGCAATGGCCCACCTGGAAGCCACATGGGGTTAGAGGGACCCCCACCCCCAGTCAAGGGAGGTGGTGAAGGATCATGCTACCCTGCCTGGGAAACTATGTTTTTTCCATAGATCTGTGCAACCCATAGATCAGGAGATTCAACTCAAGAGCCCATACCACCAGGGCCTTGGATCCTAAGCACAGAGTTGTGCAGATTCTCAGCAGCCACTCAGCTGGAGGCTGCCTAAAACTACTAATTCCTAGGAGGAGGGGCAGCCATCATCACTGTGGTTGCCTGCTGCCTAAGACAACTGAGCTCCCTGGGGGAGGGGTGGCAGCCATCACTGCAGCTGCCTGCTGTCTAAGACAACTGAGCTCCTGAGGGGGAAGGGAGGCCACCATCACTGTGGCTGCTGGCTGCCTAAGACGACTGAGCTCCACAGGGGAGGGAGTGGCAGGAATTACTATGGCAGCCTGCTGCCTAAGATTACTAGCTCCCTAGGGGAGGGGCAGCAGCCATCACTGTATCTCCAGTCTGTGGTTTCCCCCTGCTGGTGCTGAGGAGACTGGATGGTTTAGACCCAAACTGCCACACCGGCTGTGGCAGATTGCAGCCAGACTGCCACTTTCAGCTGGACACTGACCCATTCCTCTTCCCTGCATGGGGCCTCCCTGCAGGTATTTCAGCAGCTCCAGCCAGGGTTTTAGGGACAGAACTTTGATCTCCCTGGGACTGAGGGGCAACCGTGATCTCCACGGATCAGCAGACCTAGTCTTTCCCCCTGCTTGCTCTGAGGAATCCAGGCAGCCTAGACAAGTGGGATTCTCCGCAACACGGCACACCCCCTTTGCCAAGGGGCAGCCAGAGTGCTTAACTGGGTCCCAGATCCCGTGTCCCCTGACTGGGTGAGACACTCAAAGACGGGTTGCCAGACACCTTATACAGGAGCATTCCCACTGGCATCAGGTCAGTGCTCCTTGGGGACAGAGGAGGAAGGAGCAGGCAGCCAGCTTTGCTGTTCTGCAGCCTTCTCAGGTGACACCTCCAGGTG